CCAATTTGTCATTATGAACAAAGAAGGAACAATTATTTACTTGACGAGGATCTAGAACTATTCCCATCGTCAACTTAGATTAAATAAAATATAATTGTCTTCCAAGTAGGCTCAAAATAAAAGCTTGTCTCCGACTGAATCTTGAACACTTTCAAAACCAGGCTTCGTAGTTATCATATTGGTTTACTGTTGGCCAACTTACCAGTCGAGTCATTCGTTGCTTCTTATTAAACATTTCTTATAGCAAATATATAATTTTGTATAAGTACAAATAATTATTGCACACATATTCTGTTGACGCTGATAAATGCTATCAACTAAACCAATTAAGCAGAAACTATCAGAGTGATTAACCCAAGTAATGGTCCAATAGTGGCAAATGCCTTTTGGCGCGTAGGCGATAATTGATCAGCAAATTACACGCATTTGATACTACAATGAGGCTGCAATTTTTTTTTCTGGAGCGCCTTAAGCAGTCGCCCGCTGATACAATTTAAACCTGCGAACTTTCCAAAGCTTAATTATGCATTCGTTAAAAGGGATTTTCGTTAAAAACACGAATAAAACAAGACACTAAGTTGCTCTTAGGAATTGTAATCCTTTTTGTCCTCTCAATCTCAAGCTTGTATTCTCAATTAGCTGTATTGTTTCGCTGTTGTATTTACTTTGAGAGGGCGTCATTCTTTCGGTCTCTGCAAAGATTCAAAGACTGGCAATTTTAACCGGACAAGTTTACAGGCGCATTTGCTGCTTTTCACTAATTGAATTACTGGTTATTTTGGAAGGTTTGCAATACGTGAAGAAGGTGCAAACGCCTATATGGTAATTGGAAAATTCAACTGCGGGGCTTGGTATGGGAAAATAAATGAACGAAATCTGCTACCAGCAACTCTATTCTTCAACCTATCATCCCATTTTCTGGATAAAAACAGCCAATATTTCTGCAAGCTTTGTTAAACAATGACTGACGAAACAGCAGCTGTTCCCACTGGAATTTATCGCCTGAATAGTTGCGATGAACTTATCTCCAGCAATTTTGAAACGTCGACAACACAGAAGTAATGTGCGTCCATAAATTCAATGGCATGACATAGAATTACAGTGCTTGAAATTCACTAACCAAATTAATAGTCGTGTCTGTGTGTAACAGCATAATCCATTTATCAGATTTCCAACCATGTCTCCATAGCGCATCATTAGCTAATAATATCAGTCGACATTAACATAATATGTGTGTGTATCTAATAAATGAATTGCAGCTTTCGTTTTATTTGTTTTTGGTTTATGCATAATGGAAAAGGGTTATCTGCAGTATTACATTACATTAGGGCCTACGTGGGACTTCCATTTACAACTGCTGCATTTTCACCAAACGGGTAATGAGTTTGGGGATTTTCAGGCCCTGTAAAGGAAAATATTTCGTTTGGCTTCCAAGACTAGCTGCTTTATATTTATTAGCAATGTTCTACAAGGTGTTCAGAGAACACGAAGAAAATAGAGTACACACATTTAATGTACATATTTTTGCTCCAAAATAATATTACTTTATTATTATAAAAGTAATTACTTTACTTATAACTAATTTTAGACTACTTTGAAAACCTCTAGTGACTTTACCGAAATAGTTTGTACAGTTTCTACAAAGCTTCGGTAACTATAATAGTGTGTTAATGAGATCGTTGTTGAAAAAATTTTTCGCTACAGTAACAAACGACTTTCTCAGAGTTAAAACATTGGGTGCTTGAAGCAATTGAGTATTTCGTGTTTGAGGCAAGGCCATGAAGAAAATTAATGGTTTTCCATTTTGATAATTTGTGTTCATTGATTTTTACATTATTCTAGAATCTTGAGCAGAGTTGATTTTTCATAAAGTGATATTGATCGGTCATATATTTAGTTATTAATCTTCCAAGATTCGTAGAATAAAAACAAATTGATTATTTATTCAATTATTGGATCCACTTAATTGGTTTTGAAGCTTGGGCGATTCTCTACTGAATTGTCTTTTAAAAGAAATTTTTCGGATCGAATTACAGCAAATCTGGACTCTCGGAATTTTTTTAAAATAAATGTGTGATATTTCACAGGCCGATTGGTCCAGTGTTTTTAAGATAAACATCCCATATACAAAGGGTGTTTTTTTAGAGGAAGAGAACTTTTAAGTGAAATAAAACTAAAATCATGTTAACCTCATGGTACTACTGGCTTTATTGAAGAAGCAATTGAAAGCATTATGGCTTAACTAGAATTTGGGGTATAATGCGCCGCAGATGCTTGAATGAAGAGCAATCTGGAGGTCCAATTTTCGACCACTTCTAAACTTCTTCCAGACCATAAAGCCCAAAATACCGTGGGTTTTTCTGAATGTAACGGGGTCTCAATAATGGGTTCTGGATTTTGTTTATTTACGCAAATATTGAGCCAAATTCGAGTATGTCGACCGTAAAATCAGCGTAGCGCACGGTGAGTTTGGCAAAGTGAACAGCGATTTTCGTAATCAATTGCGAAATTTCGAGCGACGAAAATCCAAAATTTGAAAGCCATTATTGAGACGCCGTTATATCCAGAAAATCTAATAAAAACAGGCTCTACATGCTATCTTGGCTTCAAAGTGTTTCGGCCTAAAAATAATGACAAAAGGCGCCACCTACAAATATTTTTCTCTTGAACAATGAAAACTTTTTCGTGAATGCTGGAAATGTTTTAGGAAGGATATGAATTCTGCTATCATTTTTACGTAAAAAATGTAGTCTTTGCAACAAACAACCATTTTTGAAATAATTGGATTAACGTTGAAAAAGATGCAATCACGACGAGCAAATCCAAGAACAAATTTAAGTTTCGCATGGTACAAAGTCCGCAAATTCCAAGTTTCTTTCAAATGCCGAAATTATATCAAAAATAACTGGGAACAAACAAAAATAAAAGTTTATTTTTTAACGCTCTGTAGCTCGATAAGCAAGGCCTTGCTGATTCTTTTCACATTAAAAATAGCTGATGAATTGACCTTTGAAATATTAGACACTTATTAGCAAACACCCAGTAATAAGAGAATTGAACTAATCCAGAAAAAATTAATCATTAAAAACGACTCAAAATCTAAACAACTTTCTTCAGAGATCAGCACGAGGGAAAACCAACACCCTCAACTTTCTAATCCAAAATAAGCAATTTTTCAAGCGTTTTAAACGGAAGAATTTTTTTGATATTAAATCATTATTGTGTCAATTTTTTTTACAAAAGGGTTCAAAGCTTTAGGTAAATTGCTTTATAATAATTTTCGAAAGTGCAAAAAAACAGAGGCTTTAGTGCGATTTTCGAAAGTGCAAAAAAAGGCAATAGGAATGTCGCAACAAAAGTTCTACGGATGAAACTGTAAGTTCGTCTATTTAAGAAAAAGTCAGTTAAGAAAAAATAAGAATGAGTTTTTTTCCTTCAGCTACCTGAACAATGATCATATAAGTATCTGCATATCAATCGATATATTCATTAATATTGTAAACGATATCAACGAATATTTTAAAATGTCTCAACTTTTTGTATAACCGCAATTCACAACACCAGTTTTCATTGTTTTCTGAACAAAAATGTTCACATTTGATATCTTCGTTGGATGGAAAAAGAAAGTTTCTTGATCAAAAAAAACGTTTATAGACCACGAAATCTTCAAACCATAACTTGATATTATTCTAACTTTTGTTGGCTTCGTTCAAAAGTACGGATAAAAGACAATAAGTGCATAAACCTCCATTGTTTCTCATACATTGTTTGAGTTTGAGTGCATATTTCTATGCGACTTAAGAAACTTCTAAATACTGTTTTTAATATGAGTTTAGCAATCATCTATTCCGTTGCCGCCACTTTCACTTTTTTTTAAAACTTTTCGCTGTCTCAGAAAAATCAATATGATTGTAAAAAAGAACACACAATGAATATCGTTTCTTGCGTCGAATGTTTAACCAGTTCTTGAAGTGTCTGCGAAAAAATAAACTTGTTTTGTTCAACTTGTTGTTTGATATTTACATTTTACGTTTTGAAGAGCATAGCTAAAATACGAGTTGCTGAGGAAATCTGCAACATACTTTCCTGAGCAAATATCTACCTGGATGCAGTGTCGTGCCTCCTAAAATATTTATAGAATCGTATATTTTTCAAATAGAAATGTTGGCTAAGTTTAAGCAGGTTGCGATTTTTTTATTTTCCTTAATTAAGTGTTGTCAGGATAGCAAAACTTATTTGAGTTCGGATATTTAGGCACTTAAGCTAAAATTCCTTCGGAATTAAATTTTGAAAAATGTCTTGCTTTTTTAAAGAAAGTCAAATTTTCCATTCGAAGGCATTTTGCAGGAGTTTTAGATCAAGCTCCTCAACCAAGCGCTTGTTTGGAAATTTTCAGGAAAATGGATGTACATTTCAAGAATATCGATTTGCAAAATGTGAAGCACAGTCTTTGAAAAATTGTCCAAATTTGCCACTCGAAAGTTTTTTTGCACGTGTTTTATACCAATTTTTGGCCTTCACAATAGTGCTCAAATGAGAGCTCCTTCCTTAGCAGTTCTCTCGTAAGTAATTTTTGAGAAAACAATAAATAGTTTCAAGAAACTCGCTTTATAAAGGTCGAGGTACAGCTTTACAGTTTGTGTAAATTTGTCCCTTAAAAGCTGTTTTCAGGAGTTTTCGAGCAACGTTTTAACCTCCTAACTGACCACTATGTATTTTCAAAGTTATTCGCAAGTAAAAATTAACTTTTCCCTCTCATTCAGAGCTAGATCCATGCCAGTTTGCGCAATTTGCAAGTCGTTATTCATAGTGATTTTAATTTAAATTTAATAAATAAACCGCAGTGGATTTTGTTAAGGATAAAAGTAATTGGTGAGTGCAAACAGAGCGATTTTTAATTAACTAGCTTACGAGCCATAGCACAAAGCAGGGGACTTTTTGCTCATCTATTTAGGCCGTTTTGTTGCTGTTAAGCTAACATCCGTTTTAATTATTTCCAGATACGGCCGATGGGTGACCAGACGAGTGGCTTTAGCGACAATCGCAACGATATGGCTTCTTGCTGCACTCATTTCCTTCGTGCCCATTATGTTGGGCTTACATCGGCCCTCCCAGCCCTTCACCATCGAATCGGGAGGACAGAATTACCCCACTTGTGCTCTAGACTTGACCCCCACGTATGCGGTCGTATCCAGCTGCATATCTTTCTACGTTCCTTGTATTGTCATGTTAGGTATGTCCATACTCAGCATAGTTAAACTTTTGCTCCTAAGGAGCAAACGCTTCGCACAAAAGGAAATTTATGTGCCTAGATTTGTCACACAAGTGGCGTAATTAGATCACTTTTTCCTGTTCACTCAACGGGAAAAAACGTCGTCAAAGCACATTGTTATGTCGCATTTCGATGTTTTATAAGGCCCAATTCTTAACGCTTCACCCCACACTTTGCAATATAATTTCACCTTCGGTTTACGGCCGTAAGTGCACAAATACTTTTATAGACTTCAAATATTTGCCCGTACATCCTTCGGCCCGATATTACGGCATACCGTGACTACAGAAGATCATGTGGAGCATGAATTCAAACGCTATATTCATGGACCGGAAGCTGGACGAATTCCGCAAACCCGTAAAGTGAAACGTGCCATGCCTTGTTCTTGTAAAGGCCATTTCCTTTGAGGAAAAGTTTCCATGATAGACAGACAGCTAATGGACAAGATTCTAGACGAGCTTTCGCAATGTAAAAAAAAATAATTGATGCAAAAAGCGACAGTTCAAATTGGAAGCGCCAATTGAAAATAATTTAATTTGCTTCGGGTGATAATCAGAAGGCGTTAAATGTTAATAAAGCGAGTTTAATTATGTCGCCAATTGCGGAACAATTCAGCAAAGCTAATTTCCAGTTTAAAACATATTGTAGTTTATTTGCGCAATAATTTCCCAGAAATTGCAAAGGGCTAACGCAAACGTGCAAATATTTCCCAATTAAAATGCATAAATGTAGGTAATTCCTAGTTGAATTTTTAGCGGTTTTACGAAGTATAGGGTAGCGCAGAGAAGGCATGATTTCTTCTGAGTGGGCCACCAAGCGCTCCTGATTTAACACGTGCGATTTTTTTGGGGGTCGAATTAACAAATTTCTCGCTTCAGGCAATGGCAATTTTCATTTGGCAAAAATGTTTAAAGCGATTTACAACAAAGGTTTGTTTTTAAAAAATATGCATATTTTTCTCCAATGAATTATTTTATGCTTAAGGTAGAAACGTAAATTTTCTGTGCTCGGCCAGATGTAAGAACTCCAGAAGTTTCCATTTTGATGAAAAAATCAACTTTTTAAGCCACAGAAACAAACCGCATTCTTGTATTTTGAAAGGCCAATATTTCTATGCAGGCCAAAATCACATGTATGAACTGAACATACTAAACTCAATTTGCAACACTCAATAACCTCTTTGTAGGATTAAATTGCCTCAGCGATTTGCAAATTGCCATTTTATTTACACCGACCTGTTCATTTGCTAAATATATTATTTGCGAATTAAAGCTAATTGGAACTGAATCCCTAATGGATGCAGAATCCATATTTGCAACGAATTGTATTGTTTGTGGGCATGTATTAAGGTTGTGTAAATAAATAAAAATAACGTTTAAAAGTTATAAAAATTGAAAAACTGACACCAACATCAATTAATAAATTAAAGTGTAGATCTGGTGCCAATTAAATAACTCAACAAATCGAACAAATGGCTAAGTCCTTTCCGGTTAATTAAATTTTAGTCAACTTTGTAAATATATCTTAAACGGATTAAGTTCAAAGTACTTTCAATGCAATAAAATTGCATTTCAACCTAACAAAGTTCTAAGAGAAAACGCTGTGTTAGTTGCTATGATGCAAGATGCTTTTGTTTAGACTAAAAACTTTCCATTTGACTTTTACTCAAATGATAGTTGAAAAATTGCAATTTAAAAAAATGAAGCGTTGATTTGCAGCTCAAAACAAGTCTGTCTGTTTTATTGCCAGTAAATATCAACAAGTCTATTTAGATTTAGGCTTTCGCGCAACAAGAGTGTTTAGCGCTTTCGGTCCGTCGCAAAAAAATATATTTTTTTGAGAATTCCACGAATTGAGCTTGAAAAAATAATATGTTTTACTACGGCTTGAAACCCCGAAAAACCCACCAGTTTCAGTTCTCAAGGCTCACATCATTGATGCAAAAATATGCATCTATAACTGCAGAATGACCAATTTAAAATAGGGTATCAACGTAAAGGGAGACCAATAAATAAACTTCTAAAACTTGGAAGCATTTTTCAATATTTTATATAGCAAATAGGCGTTAACGGTCTTTAGCCAGCCTGTTTAAAGTTGCCAGATGACAAAGTACTCGCGGGCATTCAAATAAACCAGATTCACAATTTGCAATCCCTCCTTTTGGCATATATGTGGGACACATGTGGGCCTGAAGCAAACTGGAAAATAAATCTCGACGGAAACATAAAATGGCATCAGCCAGCACACCATGGATGCTCTCCCGAAATGCACAATGCCGAGATTTTTGCAGCTGCGATTTTAATCTATCAAAAAATTGCGAGTGTTCAGCGAATGTCTGTTGCTGATTCAATAATTTAGTGGATTTCCTTCGTCGGTTCCGCATGGGAAACTGATGGCATTCCGTGAAACCGCTGCAGTTATTTAAGGGTGTTTTTCTCCTGGCTGTCCATTTGCCATTAGAATTTATCAGTGCCTTCGAAAGCTGTCCCAGTTTTAAATAATGCTCGAACGGCCTTTGGCTGCTACAGTTAATTTTCGCGAGCGAATGAATTTATGTTGCATTTCTCCTGCTTAAAATAGGCAGTAAATTTTGTGCTAACTGCACTTTCAGGATATTGCCGACTACATAATTTTTATATGTCGCTTTTTAACATCATTTGCAAAATTTTTCTTGGGAGCGCAATTTGTACTTCCTTGGCGCTGCTAGATTTACGGAAAAACGAGTTTGTGATTTACAAGTAGCAGAAGGGTTGAAGCTGTTTTACTGCTCCAAATCTGGAAAATGATCTATTTTTGCCAACATGAAAGCGATTGGAAACAGGAGCCCATTACAGGCATGACCAAATATTAAGAAGACCTAATTAAAAGACAAAAGTAATGCAAGAAAGGGATTTCTGCACACCCTGATAAAAAATAATTAATCTTTACGTGAAGCTCCACAGTTTCGGCTTCTAAGACTGATTATAGCCAATATTTTTTCAACAAAGAAGTACAAATTGTTTTTGAAGAAGTGTTTATTTGCCGAAAAATTCCAGATTTCTGAGCAATTAGTGCGCTCAGTCGCAAAATTGGCAAATATGGCATATACAGTTCAAAAGAGCCCGTCCTAAGGGAAAGTTTTGCGCTAAATACGTTGTTTAGTTAAAAGTTCGGAATGCTTGTGAAGTAAAATGTGCAGACAGTTTCCAGGAAATAAGGGTACGAAATAGTTTACCTTAAATAAAGCAAGTTAATGAAGATCCTGAAAAGTGCATCAAATGCGGTTTGGAAGAAAATAAAAGCCAAGTTTAATTTTGTATTTTTTGAATTTTTTGAGCTGAAATAAAACGCCGAAAAGTATATTTTAGGCATGTTTATAAATATTTCTCAAATTTATTACCAGCTGGTATTTCTATTGTTAAACGAAAGTATTTTAAGTATATCGAGTTAAGTTGAAATGGAATTTTCGACTTGACTTGTTTGATTTGCGAGCTTTTTATCTTTCCTAAGCCCTGAAAGACAATTTTAGACATTAAATTCGAAATAGCAATCTGATTTGTTAAAAGTTTATATTTATTGATATTGTTGTACAAACGTATTTTAACTTTAAATGTAAAATAATTTGAGAAAACATGCAAATTTTCTATGCGTAGAATCACAAAAAAATTCAGGTAAAAAAATTTATTAAGATGAAATTTTGAAAACAGCAAAATATTAAAGATCCTATAAAGTGCCTTAAATGTATTTTTTTAAAAAGCAGAAGATTGGTGTCATTGCGCGTTTTTCCAAAAAAAATTGCCATAAGCAGATTTTGGACATCAGCTTCTAAATAATAATCGGAAATATTTTGATAAATAATTCTTCAATGTGTGGAACGACAAAAATTGCACAGGTAAAAAAATTAGTTAAGATACCATTTTCAAATCAGGAAAATAAGTCCCTAAAATGTATTTTGAATTAAAATCATGAGCAAAAGTCTGAAATACTTGGAATGATATAATTAGACATACAAAGTTTCAATACGTGGAAATACAAGAAAACTAAAGGTCAACAAATTTATTAAGATAAAATTTTCAATTTATCAAAATAATAAAGATCCTATAAAGTGCCTTAAATGAATTTTATAAAAAGCAGAAGCTTAGATTGATTTAGTCTTTTTCAAACTTTTGAGCTTTCGACCTTTGCTAAACCCCCAAAACCAGAGTTTAAACATCAGGTTCTGAATAACAATCTGATTTATCAACAGTTGAAATCGATAGTATTGGACAAAAGTATTTTAACTGTAAATGTGAAATAGTTTGATAAAAACATACACATTTTCAATAAATGGAAATACAAAGCTTTGTAAAGTTGCAAAAATTAAGTTAAGATCAAAGTTTGGAAACAGAAAAATAATAAAAATCCTATAAAATTGTCTTAAATCTTGTCTTTAAAAATTGTCTTTTGAAAAAATTAAAAGCTTATTTTGAAAACTTGTGGGCTTTTGAACTTTGCTAATCCCCGAAAAATGAATAAAGAAAACAGTTTATTTGGTATTTTTGGACAAAAGTGTTTTAAATATAAATGTGAAATAATTTGATAAAGCATAAAATTTTTAAATGCATGGAAACACATGATTTGTACAGTTACAGTAATTAAGCTGAAATTTTCAAAACAGAAAAATGATCAAAATCCTAAAAAGTGCTGTAAATGCTGCAAAATAAACAGAATATTAGTTTGATTGGTAGTTTTTCCCACTTTGCTAATTACCGACCACCAGATTTTAGACATCGGATTTGAAACCACAATTTGATTTATCAACACTGATATTGACATTGTTAAGAAAAATAATTTTAACTATAAATGTGAAATAATTTGATTAAATAGACACATTTTCAATGCGCAGGTAACCCAAAATTTTACAACAGTGTAAAAATAAAATAAAATAACATTGTTGATTAATCTGCAGTTGATTTCGACATTCTTAGATAAAGAAATTGCAATTATGAATCCGAGCTTAATAAATCATCAAATTTATTAGTTGTCGGAAAGACTACAACACCAAAAGAAAAAGTTTAATAAACAATAATATTTTCAACAAAATTAGAAAAAACGTCTTAATCGAATTTTTTAAAAAATCTGATGTTTTGGGACTGGAAAATCATGTTCTGATTCATCACATGTTGATAAAAATGCACACTGGAACCGCAGCAATAACCAAGAAACCTTCATCAGAATCAATTCGAATACGCAACCGTATATCCCCGAAAGGGAAAATAAAAGATCAATCAATCCACAATTGCGGTAAAAAAAAATTCAAATTTGAAAAATCCATTCATAATCATTAGTTTATTTAAAAATCCCCAAACTCACTATTATCTATCTACATTTCCACATTGAAAGCCCTAAATTCAAATGTAAAAACCGCAGTTAATCAGATTAACAACTCGCTATAAACCAAACATCCTTCAACGCGCCTGCAATTGGGAAACTGTATGAAGAGTAATCCATTCGGCTTAACACCCATCGCTCGACACTTCATAAATACTCCATACATGTTCACTTTGTGAAGTTGCCGAATGACGGTGAATTAGGAACAGGATTCTTAGCTTACTGACTCGTTTATCTCAGTCGAGCACCACTACTGAGGCCATTAATTAAAGTCGCAAATGTGAATTAAAGGATGTGTTGAACAAGACTAATTCGTTACTTTTTGTAGGAGAGTTGCTGTTGATTGAACACTTCTGTGTATTTGCAGGTATTTACTGTAGATTGTATTGCTACGCTCAGAAGCATGTGAAGAGCATCAGGGCCATTACGAGACCAATCGACATTCCAAACTCCACATCCAAGAAGAAAACTATGAAGCAGAAGAACAAGGCGCTTCATATTCATCTGCACAATCACCAAAGCTCCCCTTACCATGTCAGCGACCATAAAGCTGCTGTAACTGTGGGCATTATTATGGGGGTTTTTTTAATTTGCTGGGTAAGTTCTATGGCAGCAATTTGTGTTTTATTTCTAGTTTTCTGATTTCGTCAGGTTCCGTTCTTCTGCATCAACATCGTGGCGGCGTTTTGCAAAACCTGCATACCAGACATCACCTTCAAGATCCTCACCTGGTTGGGTTACTCAAACTCAGCATTTAACCCGATCATCTACTCGATATTCAACACGGAGTTCAGGGAGGCGTTCAAACGCATTTTGACTGCCCGGTATCCGGATTGGTGCAAGTGCGGCTACCAATCAGTGGCATTGAATAACGAAAAGTACGTGACTGATTATGGTACTAAAACTTTGGTGGTAAACGCGCGAAGGAACGGCTCATTCGGTGAGTTTTCCAGTGAACATTTGAGTTGCGAGTCGGTGAGGCAAACTCGAGTTAATTCAGCGGCCGACGTTTTGGGCGACGATGTGAGCGACATTTGACAGGAATATGACCATCTTCAGGACACCATGGTGTAGAGAGCTAAGGAACGATGGTGATTACATGACTGATTTAGAGTTAGATGAAGTTAACTCGGGGAAACTGACATGCTTAACGAATATCTAACAGTCACTAGTAGATTGTTTCCCTTTGAGGTGTTGAGTTTATTTATACAGGGTGTCCACAAGGAAATTTACGCATATCCACGTTTTTTTTTATACAAACTGCATGGTTTGGATCTAAAGATCCCTAATTTTGCTTGCTTGATCGGGATGATAAAAATATTGTTCCAGTAATTTTTTTGGCTTGGTTTGATGCAGTAATGAGCGGCAGTTTGATTAGAATTTGAGCAAATTATTTAAATATAGAAGAAATATGAGAAAACTTAAACCATGTGCTAAAGCTAAGCGAGGGTTTCCTTTGTTCTAAAAAAATGTATCGGTTCACAATTAAAGAATGGTCCGAATTGTCCACGGTGGGAAAAACAATATAAAATGTCCTTTCTTGTCATTATCTGACAAAAAAATTCGCACATTTTCAAGTCGGTTGAATGCGGTGACTACAATAATACTGTATCATTTTTACTTCGTAGATAAAGCGGTAAAGTCTGCAGGATGATTCGGTTTATTTTTGTAAACTTGGAATTGCCAGAGGAACATTAAAAAATTAAGAAAAAGCCAAGTCGATAAATTAAAGTTGTAGATAAGTTCTATATTGTTGAGGCTGATTCATTTTTTTACAAACTTCTTGTTGGGTATTTCGCCTCAAAAATGTTTGTCTTTAAAAAAGACAGAATTTCCTCACTCTCCTCCTTGTCTTCTATTACAGATTGATAAATAGTGCTCCTATTTCGCAATAAGAGCGAATTATTTATCAAAAAGTAATCTGTAAGAGAAAATTCCAATTAGAAAAAAAATTAATTTGAAAAATTACCTTGACGTTTTGATAGCTATTTTCTGCTATCGTTATCAAAAGAACCTAAATGAACCTAAAAAAGATAATTGATAATTGCCATAAAATTCAATGGAATAATTCCACAATTTTAACAAAAAATTAAAGAAAGCGCGCTAATTTTACTAAATCAAAATAATTGTGTTGCTTCATGTTCATTTAATTTAAGTCATACATGGTTACCTATGCTAAA